GGCTGGGGATTCGAACCCACCACCTTAGGTGTATGTGGCTAGCGCCTTAGCCACTTGAGCCACAGGCGCCGAGCCTGTGAAGTTTTTTTTAAGAGACAAGCTCTCTTGGCAGCGCCTGTGGCTCAGTGGGTAGGGCACCAGCCCCATATACTGAGGGTGGTGGGTTCAAACCCAGCCCCAGCTAGCTAAAACAGCAGTGGCAACTGCAACAGAAATAGCCGGGCATTATGGCAGGCGCCTATAGTCCCAGCTACTCAGGAGGCTGAGGCAAGAGAATCACTTAAGCCCAAGATTTGGAGGTTGCTATGAGCTGTGATGCCACAGTACTCTACTGAGGGCAACATAGTGAGGCTCTGTCTCAAAAAAAAAAAAAAAAAGAGACAAGTTCTCACTCTGTCTGCAGGGCTAGAGTGTAATGATACAATAACTAACTCACTGCAACCTCAAACTCCTCGGGCTCAAGCAGTCCTGCCTCAACCTCCTAAATAGCTAGGACTACAGGTACATGCCCCCACACTTGGCTAATGTTTTTTTTTTAGAGATAGTGTTTCTACGATGTCACCTATGCTTGTCTTGAACTCCTAGCCTCAGCCAATCCTTCTGTTTCAGCCTCCTACCCCTTCAACTTCTTACCCCTATAAAGAATGGCTGTTATATAATTAACTGTGAATAGAAAGCTCTTCTTGTGCTAATTGTGCTGCAGTCATTGAGCCCAGCCCTAGCCATATGCCAGGCCTGAGCTAAGCTATCTTTAAGATACTAATTTCATTTGAGTGTCACAGCTCTTGAGTTCGGTGCTAGCTGGAGAAACTGAGGCTTAGTGATTTGCCCAAGATAATGCAGCCAGAGCAATTGCTCAGTAAATGCTCATTGCAAGAAAATAAATAGTTCTTCCCCGTATGGGAGATGTTAATCAGTTATTTGACATGCTTCCCCCTCTCTAATTCTTCCAGTGTGTGCAGTGAAGCTCTTGCCTATTTCATCACGGTGAATTCTGAAAGCCATCGGGAGGCCTGGACAAGTCTCCTGTTGTTACTTCTAACTAAAACCCTCAAAATAAATGACGAAAAGGTATAAATAAGTAAACTTAGATATGTCCTCTAGGACATAGGGTTTGGGTTGGCTATTCACTCAGAGTTTAAAGTAACTCTTTTCTCAATTCTCCCAAGGATGGTTACATGACAAGCACCATTCTAGATGGATTAGAGATTAAGTTAATTTATTACAAATGGTGGATGCATTGGGATATTAGGGCTTTTTCTCTGGAAGAATCTCAGTTGGGAAAGGCTGAAATTTAAACCACATGTATTGCTGTTAGGAATAATATGGTGGTTTTCAATGCTGGATGAGAGGGTTAAGATTGTGAAGCCCTAGGTTTAGACCTAGCAGCTTGCTTTACAAAATGAAAGAGTATTGACTTTTGGTAGCAAGGCTATGCAAATACAATGAAAAGAAGTTAAATTTAAATATAATTAAAAGAAGTTTTAACCGCAAGTTTTTTGGTATTAACTTTCCCATAGCAAGAAAAGGAGGGCGGCACCTGTGGCTCAAAAGAGTAGGGCAATGCCAGAGGTGGCGGGTTCAAACTGCAAAAAAAAAAAAAAAAAGAAGAGGAAGTTCCAGGGTGAGATGAACACTTTTCAGAAACTGGGTACCAAAAAACAGTTCCATGTTTTAATTTTATCTCTCTTCTTCTCTCCCACCTCAAGTTCAAAGCACATGCTTCCATGTACTACCCCTACTTGTGTGAGATTATGCAGTTTGACTTGATCCCTGAGCTCCGAGCAGTCCTGCGGAAGTTCTTCCTGCGGATAGGCGTCGTATATAAGATATGGATTCCAGAAGAGCCATCACAGGCACCAGCAACACAGTCACCAGTGTGGTAGCCCTGGCCCTTGTGGGCCACTGCTGCAGCTCTGCAGAATGTTCATCATGCCATCTCCGACTGGCACAGCTCGGGAAGGGTCATAGAAACAATGAGTAGGCATCTTGGATCTCAGGACAGCCTGGATATGGGTGGCCTCTAAGCTGGTCCCATCACAGTCCCCGACTAAGGCTTGTGGTATTTCATTAAACTGTTGCATACCCAGTTAACTCAGTAGGTGGTATTTTATTAAACTGTTGCATACCCGGTTAACACAGCCTTGAGAAATGTTTGGTTTTGGCCAGCCGAACTCTTACCTACTTTTTCCTTCCTGTCTGTCATTCCATTTTACTGATTAAACTGTCGAATCTGTCATTGCAAATGCCATCATTTTCTAGCAGAGTCCCACGATTGGCTATAAATGTTTTGTCAGAAGTCACTCTCCTTGAAAATACTGAACGTAGCTGTATAGGTTTGTGATTATTAGAGAGTATGTTAATAAAATTTCTTGTAACGGCTCACTGCCATCTAAAATATGCTGGGATTTTTTGTTGTTGTTTGAGTGTGTTAAGTTTGAGTGTTTTGTCAGTTATGAGTCAGCTGTAGTTGATTAGTTTGGGAAAGGGTGGGGAAAGGAAGGGTTTTTTTTTGTTTGTTTCGTTAATGTCTGAGTGATTTTTAAAGTATTTTACAAAAAGATATTATTGGAGGTTGATTGAAGACAGAGTAATTAAGTTAGAATTAAGAGCTTGCAAGGTTAAATACAAATGTAGTGCCTCATGGCTCTCCTTTTAGTAACGTGGGGAGGAAAAGTCTATAGGCAAAAGTAAATTTAATGAAGATACATCCTTGAAGTATGTATTCATGGATGGGTGTTAAATTACAATTTCCAGAATACATTCTCCATCTCATGCACTCTGAAATCTAATATATGAAGTAGTAGGAAAAATGAAGTAGTAATTTAACCAGAATTCATTTATCTTTGAATAAACCTTTTTATTTTTACCTCAGAAGAGTATACTGATGGTTAGTACTGCTGCTTTGCACAGCCCCCATTACAGGGCCCTTGAGATTAGGACAGTAACTGTGCATAGAAGCATCACTCCTGTGAACCACCTCAGCCAAATGTCACGAGTGGAACCAGCACTGTCCTGGGGCCCGCACAGCTGAACTGTGACAGTAGCAGGAGGTGGCATGTGCCCAGCACTTCCATTATTTTGAGCCTAGGAGCTGCGTTCTTTGACGGGTTAGATTCTGAGGTCCTGATTATGTTAATGATGGTGCAATACTCTTATCTGCAGTAGAAGTGAATTCTGATGCAGCTTGTCTAGTAAAAGTGGGCAGTATACAAGTACTGCCCAAAGCCTGCAAGCAGTGTCTTGGAAGCTTAGTTTATTCTGAGTCCATGAGAAAGAGAACATGTCCTCCATCCTCTGCCCTCATCCAGTGCTCCTTTAGAGCAGCACTGAGCATCAGAAGTGTCACGCTGAGTGAGTGAAACATTCAGACTTCCGCCTGTGCTCTTTAGTCCTGTAAATTGGGTTGTATCGATGTCAACTATGGTGCCTTAGAAGTTAGTAGTTTGGGAACATATCTGTAAAATCAGATATTTTTTCTTTCTAGAGAAGGATTTCTGGTGCTTTTGCTTGCTAAGAGACCAATTTCTTAAGTTTTCTTTTTTGTTTTAACAGCCTGCCTTGAGAAATGTTTGGTTTTGGCCAACAGAACTCTTGTCTCCTTTTTTCTTTCTCAAAGTGTTTTAATTTCTCTACCAAAGAAAAAAAGAGCAGGTTTAGGTTTTTGCATTATTTACATACATTGGATAAGAGCTATGTAATTAAGCAAGGAAGAACTATGTGAGAATATTTTAGGATATTTTACTGTGAATGGAAAATGTTAGCACATTTCACTTACTCTCCTGGAATCCATTACCTCTTCACTCTTTTCCTTTAAACTTGTCTTCCCTGGTCTCATAGTTCATCATAATCCCAACAAGTCAGTCATCTCCATTGATTTTTGTACTAAAGGCATAAATGGGGAATATGCATGTTCATTCACTAGTACATCTTACGTATCACTATATCCCCAATTGGTGATTTTTCCTTTTCTTCTGAGGGTCTTGTATGGCATTTTCTTTATTTAATGTGACTCTTAAGACTTTGCAAGAGTATTCCTGCCGCCTCTTTAATTTTTGCCTCTTTCAGGGTAAGAAATATATCAGTATGTTTTATCACTTGCTGAAAACATTCAGGCTTGAATTTTTTAATTTTATCTTTTCAAAGATTTAATTTTCTGAATGAGGCATTTGAATTGTACCAGCAATGGACTTTTAAAAAACTGGATATAAAACCATTCAGGGTAATTTTTCTTGTCAGTGGACAGTGACGAACAGAGGAAATCCCTTACCTCCAGTAATAAGCCATTCCTCCTAAATTCTTTTTTATGAATAAATCTATTCTTTCTCATGGTAAATGTGGCTTCTGCCACTCAAACACTAGTGAAAGGGTGTGTGCAACTCCGCAACATCAGGCCAGAACACCATTCACTTAACAAAGTTATGGAGGAGAGTGAACATTTTCCAAGGGCTTATTTCTTTTTCAGAATGCTTTAAGTGTTGATTATATGTTCTGGGTCTCTAGAGAAGTTTTAATTTGTTATAATACTGCTGCTTTGAGCAATTTTTTCTTACTGCTGTTAGGGAAATCACCAGCTCTGGCATCTTAACAACAAACCACGAATGGGAAATTTTCTTTCTAATATGCATCATTAGAGTCCAATATGCCTTTTCCCTGTGCTCCTCACATACAACCAAAGAACATGCAGTATGAAAATTGTATAATAATATTGGGAAACACACCATTTTCCCCTGACAGGTGACTTTTGTACAAAATGCAAAAATACCTAATCTTTTTTGGGTTTTTCATGATTACGGCTATACATTTAATAGTCTTTATAGTTATTAAAGGAACCTGCCAAGTACAAGTATGATGATCTCATTCAAATGTTTGTTGTTACGATGCAAATGGATATTGGTTTCAATAGAAGCTGGATCCTTAATACTATATTTTCTGGATTCTCTTTTAATATTTGTGTTAAAGTAAACATAGCTTGAACTTACATGAAATCCTAGAAATTTGTTATCAGCAGCTTTGCAATTTGGGAAATAAACCAAAGCTGAATATTTTAAAGAATGAATACATCTGGAAATCCTTGCTCTCCAACAAAACAAAACAAAACAAAGCACTCTTTGTCAAAAGGTATAGTTTTTTTCAGTGTTCTAATTTTTAAAAAATTTTATCTGCATATTTGCATAAAATATTTCTTTATGTGCAAAATGTATGTTTTACCTCCATAAAATGCCTAAAAGTTAGTTAATAGTTACTTTGGTTGAATCTATACACGATGATTAAGTGCATTTAATATTAGTAATTTAATGAAAAGCATTCCTTGCCCAATGGATGTATACATTTTTGAAAGAATAAGCAGAATTATATAATATGAAATGCTATGTAAATTTTTCTATGTAAAAATATTATGTATAATACTGTTAAAATATCTCATGCTTTGATCAGGTGGTAAATCAATAAAGTTTTAAAAAGTATAGCTGTTTTTAATGTAGTAATTAAAATATATATCAAGCCATGGTATTGGTTAGTTTGAGTTTGTTCTTAATGGCAGGTATAAGCTTACAGTTTTCAATTGTTGGTAAAATTTGGCCTCTGTATTAAATAGAATTTTTTTTTTTTTTTTTGCCCAGGGCTGAGTTTGAACCCGCCACCTCTGGCATATGGGGCTGGCACCCTACCCTTTTGAGCCACAGGTACCACCCTAAATAGAATTAGTAATGGGAATATATTAATTGTGGGTCTTAATTCTTATAAGCCCCCCCCCATGAAAAGGGTGGGGGGAAATCCGGTCATGAGATGAGATTTCTATATCTCTCTCTCTCTCTTATTTTTTTTTAATGTAAATGACTTTTTTTTTTTTTTTAGAGACAGAGTCTCACTTTGTCACCCTCAGTAGAGTGCCATGTCCTCACAACTCAGAGCAACCTCCAGCTCCTGAGCTTAGGTGATTCTCTTGCCTCAGCCTCCCAAGTAGCTGGGACTACAGGCGCCCACCAAAACACCCGGCTATTTTTTGTTGCAGTTTGGCCGGGGCTGGGTTTGAACCCAACACCCTCAGTATATATGGAGCCAGTGCCCTACTCACTGAGCCACAGGCACTGCCCAATTTCTGTATATCTCTTGAATCCACTTTAACTTACTAATTTGACCAGTGTGTAGTTCACCAGAGGACAGAAATCGATTGTCATTGGCACTGAAGGCAGGACTGGCAGGGTAGCCAGCTGGGCACTGAGGGAGTCGAAGTTGATTCTAAAGGGTTTATACAGAGTGCTCACCTAGCAAGACAGGAAAATCCAGGCTTGGATTTACCTCCTCTTGAGTTCAGAATCCATTCCTTCTCAAGTACTCTAAAGTTATAAACAATCACTATACTTAAAATATTACTGCTGAAATTGCCGAAACACATTGTCTTCTCAGGCCAGGCATGGTGGCTAACCTATAATCCTAGTACGCTGTGGGCCAAGGCAGGAGGAGTGCCTGAGCCCAGCTGTTTGAGAGCATCCTGAGCAAAGCAAGACCCCATGTCTACAACAAGTAGGCAGGAGGATCCCCTGGCTACTGATCGCTGGAGTGTGAAGTTTCAGTGAGCTGTGATGACACCACTGCATTCTAGCCAAGGTGACAGAATGAGGCTCTGCATCCAAAAAAATTAAAAAATTCACTTCTGCTTACCCATTTTATGAAGGAGAAGATGCTGGTAAAGGATCACTGGTTTAGGAAGGGTAGAAGGGCCAGACCATTTTTAAGATGCCCCTCATTTAAGCATTTGTACAGGTAATTTTAAAATTATACTGCATGCATTTGTACTCTGCCCAACAGACTAGAACACAGTTTAAACAATAATACATTTTTTTCTTTTTTCAGAGACCCAGAGTGGTTCCCTGGAATATATATATATATATATTTTTTTTTTTCAGTTTTGGCCAGGGCCAGGCCTGAACCCGTCACCCTCAGTATACAGGGCCAGCACCCATTCCCTGGAATTTTCATAAACCTGTGTAGTATGCTTGTTTAAGAAATCTGCTAAAACGTCCTCCCATTGGTTATTTGTGTCACATCTTAGGCATAGCCACCTGAGTAAATGCAACTATGTGCCCACAGCAAGAGAAAGAGGAAGAGTAGGAGGGGGAGGGATTCAAATGATTCTGGCAAAAATGATTTTGATTATTTCTTAAAATGCTTATTTCCAGCCAGGTGTGGTGGCTCACATCTGTAACCCCAGCACTTAGGAGGCCAAGGCAGGTGGATTGCCTGAGCTCATGGATTCGGGACTAGCCTGAACCAGAGCAAGAACTTGCCTCTAAAAATAGCTGGGTGTTGTGGGACGTGCCTGTAGTACCAGCTATGTGGGAGGCTAAGACAAGAGAGTCCCTTAAGCCCAAGAGTTGGAGGTTGCTGTGAACTATGATGCAACAGCACTCTACAGAGGGTGGCAAAGTGAGACTCTCAAAAAAAAAAAAATGCTTATTTCCAGTTATCAGACAACCTTATCTGGTGTGTTCACTTGATAATTGAGCCCTTGAGGATATTTTATATAAAATTGAATTTTCATGTCACCTAAAGATTGCCACAGTCCTGCAGTCTACTTTTCATTAATTCAGAATTGCTTAAAGAATTTATCTTGCTCTCTCTTTCGCGTAGGCCCGCAGTGCCAGCATGATGGGCAAGTGTCGAGGGCTCCGAACTGCTAGGAAGCTCCGTAGTCACAGACGAGACCAAAAGTGTCATGATAGGCTCAGCACCTGTGGCTCAAGTGGCTAAGGCGCCAGCCACATACACCTAAGCTGGCGGGTTCGAATCCAGGCCGGGGCCCGCCAAACAACAATGACAGCTGCAACCAAAAAATAGCCAGGCATTGTGGCGGGCGCCTGTAGTCCCAGCTACTTGGGAAGCTGAGGCAGGAGACTCGCTTGAGCCCAGGAGTTGGAGGTTGCTGTGAGCTGTGATGCCACAGCACTCTACCCAGGGTGACAGCTTGAGGCTCTGTCTCAAAAAAAAAAGTGTCATGATAAACAGTACAAGAAGGCCCATCTGGGCACAGCCCCAAAGGCCAACCCTTTCAGAGGTGCTTCCCATGCAAAGGGGATTGTGTTGGAAAAAGTAGGAGTTGAAGCCAAACAGCCAAATTCTGTCATCAGGAAGTGTGTCAGGGTCCAGCTGATTAAAAATGGCAAGAAAATCACAGCATTTGTACCCAACGATGGTTGCTTGAACTTTATTGAGGAAAACAATGAAGTTCTGGTTGCTGGATTTGGTCGAAAAGGTCATGCCGTTGGTGACATTCCTGGAGTCCGCTTTAAGGTTGTCAAAGTAGCTAATGTCTCCCTTCTGGTCCTTTACAAAGGCAAGAAGAAACGACCAAGATCACAAATTTTGATGAAAACACAGTAATAAATCTTTTGTTTATTTTTTTGTAGAGACAGGGTCTCACTATGTTGCCCAGGCTGATCTCAAAACGGGGTTTCAAGTGATCCTCTGACCTCAGCCTCCCAACTCGCTGGGATTATAGGCATGAGCCACCATATGCTGAATATTCTAGGATGATCAATGAATAGTTCACAAGTTTGGGAGGATTAGATAATTTCCTTTGCTTTCCTGGGCTACTGACAACTCCATTCAAGTCTTCCCTGCTTGGTTTGAAGAGGAAGCTGCTGCCTGAAGACCCACTTCCCCTGCATAACTGTGTTGGGTAGAAATCAGTCCTGGACACCTGCTTCCCAGTGAGAAGAGCCCTGGAAGGTCCTGACCCTCAGCTCTGGGCTACATTCCCTGGACTCTTGTGTAAGTCTTATGCCCCCTCCCCTTCCACCAAAGAAAGAAAGAAAGAATTTCATTTTTCTTTTTTTCTTAAGACAGAATCTCACTTTGTTGCCCTTGGTAGAGTGCTGTAGCATCATAGCTCACAGCAACCTCAAACTCTTGGGCACAAGCAATCCTCTTGCCTCCATCTCCCAAGTAGCTGAGATTACAAGTGCCTGCTGCAACATGGCTGTTTTTAGACATGAGGTCTCAGTCTCACTCTTGCTGGTCTCAAACTCCTGAGCTCAAGCAATTCACCCAACTAGGACTCCCAAGGTGGTAAGGATTACAGGCGTGAGCTACTGCACCCAGCTTCAAAAATTTTTAAAGATTATTAAATTACTGTTGAAAGAAGTTAAAAGCAAAGTATATTCTTTTTTTATACTTTTTTTGATCAACATAATTTAAGTGTGCCACAGAAGATTTAACTATAGGTTCAAGTGGGCAGTGAAATAAAAAAGGTTGATAAACACTGCTCTAAAGCCTGCCTGAGATCCTCTCCATTTCCTGCCTGAGATCCTCTCCATTCCCATCCCTCTTTTCCATTGCTACCTTGATGCCAGGTGATAGAGCAAAGAACACACTTAGCACTTAGAAGACCGTGGGGGAGAAATACAAATGTAGGCTTACCTACTACTCAGGCTACTCTTACGAGCATTTGAAAGTTTTGGAGGGGGGAAAGTTGGCCCACTACCTGCATCTTTTGGCCACTTCAGGTTTCAGCCTGCATCACAAAGACTTGCATGTGTACATGGATACTTAAGCTCTGGCCAAAACTCCTGCATACACCTGCCTCCTACTTACCCTTCTAGCTGGGGGGTGCTCACAGCTGTTGCGCAGCTCATCCTCTGAAGAAGTGACCCAGGCAAGGGGGCTTCACAGACTGGGGGCCAATTGGTGGGGCATACCAGGGCCCTATGCGACTAGAGCATACAGCTCATGGGCCACGTGCAGGACATTTATCTGGCCTGCCGGGTATTTTTGCTGCCGCTGCCTGTCCTGCTTAGCAGCCGACTTGTGCCTGCAGTCTGGCCCTCTAACGGTCTGAGGGACAGTGAACTGGCCCCCTCTAAAAAGTTTGAGGACCGCTGGACTAGAGTGTGGTCTAAATGGGGGCAGCACAGGTTCTGGGTGAGCATATCTACTTGGCCCAAGGGCTGCTTCCCTGTGTGAAGGAGCAGCTGGAAGAGGGCCAGAGTGGAGCCATCTAAAGCAAAGGGTCCAGGGGCTTACCCTGGTCTAAGGCAGTACCACCTGGGGGAAAGGAGGGCTGAGAGATGGGAAGATGACAAAACACACTTCTAAACAGCCATAGAATGGCCATAACAACCAGTGCTCTGGTCATTTCTTATTTCCCAGGTGCTCTTTTGTAGGATTCATATACACTGGTCTTTTAATCCTCACAACCACCCGAAGAGGCAAGTTACTATTATCATCCCATCTTAGAGATTAGGCCACTAATAAATTATAAAGTACTTGTCCACCCTCACAAGGTGGCGTCAGGATCTTAACCTGGGCAGTCTGGCTCACATCCACACTTAACTAGTATAATGTAAAAGGATAAAAGAAAAGCGATAATGAAGGGATGATAACAGGTATGCCAGGAAATGGTTAACCAAAAGAAAGCAGGTCCAACCTTATTAATATAAGACAAGACAAAATTGGAAGAGGAAAG